TTGGTGTAATCGATTAACTATGAGATGAACTACATTGACTACTGTAAGGTAAAATAATTCATTAATTGAAATTATAATTATACCAATTAATGTCACAAAAATAATCAGCTAGTGTTTTGATAATTCCAACTATACAGTAATTGAAATTAGGATTAAATCACTTGTCACATAAATCAGAATGTTTTCAATTATTCCCATTTTTGATAATAACAACTACCTAGTAATCAAAATATTGCCATAGTTGAACACTTTGTATGTGTGTATTTATAGTGGTTTTAGAAAAATTAGGAGTTGAAGCATGGGAATCCTTCAGCTATGTACTTTGTAGTGTTCTTTATGTATTACTTATGAATGTAGGAATAAAATATCTTACAATTATTTTTAAATGTCTATATGTGGAATATTGAGTTGAATTAGTGAATTATGTTTTTATTTTAGATTCTTATGGATAAGTAATATTATACTTTATCTTGCTGTTTTACTTGCATATTGTATTGATCCAGTCGATGTTATCTTCAATATAAGGTCTAAGTGAATGACTGCCAGTTGTCCCATTGAGGTTACCTCTAAGTTAAAAAAAAAGTTTTGTATTTTTAGTCTATTTTAAATATACCCTTTCATACTCATATACTTGTCCAACAAAATAAAAAAAAAATGAAACTAAAAATACACACACACACACACATATATATAAAACACCATTAACCATGCAAGAATATGTAATCTAACTCAAAATTCTGACAGTAGCTAACAACACAAAGCAAACTAACATTTATATTCTGGTATGCTACTTACCTCCTCTCACAAAATTAGCTATTCTTCTTCAGTGCTGCTCTCTGTATGCAAACTTTTTCTTTATACATGCCACAAGTCTACTGCTCCTCCCTATTGAAACTGAAATATTCCAACATATCTCCTGTGCAAATCATCATGTGTTACTTCTCCATCAATAGGAGCATAACATGCTCACATGATGCATATGACTCCCTCTGTACTCCTCTACTGAGTGCTTGTGTTTGGATGTGCTTGTAGTTTGTTTAAAGATTCATGTTCGGCTTAAGTTTCCTCACGAAATGGTTTTCTTTAATTTATTTAGTTTTCATTTAGACAGTTTCTTCACTTTACAATTTTTATTAGTTAGTTCCAGTCACATTATTCTTTTTCACCATTCGATTTTGGTGGACTCTTCTTCACAATGAATTCCAAAGTTCATGTTTCCACTTCAGGGGTCACACCAGTGACTAGCATTCTTTCTCGGGCCTCAGGTGCAGACAACCCGATGATAGATGGGAAATCAAACATTACATGGGCTAGCCTTCTTCCCTGGACTTCATCCTGGTCCTCTCAAACAGACAAAGCCTGTTCAGACTAATGAGGACTTGGATTGTCTATTTCCACGTTATGATTTTGCTGTACCTTCCAGTCCTCTGCCTGATGAATTAGTTAGACCTAACTCAGTCTTTTTTTGGATTTTATTTCTTGGGTATGTGATGTTTTATTCCTTTCTCCTATTTCTTAAGAACCATGTCCTTCCTTACAACATGACCAATCTTCCTACCCATTTTTGGTTTTTCCTCCCTCCCCTGATATTCGAGTTCCTTCTGATCAATTTGCCTTGCAATTAAGTGATTTGATTAGCATGCCTTGCCCCCCATGGGCTTCAGATCAGTTCATGCTTTCATACCATTGTGCTGACTGTCCCTTTTTGTTAGGTTCCATATTGCCTGTTTGTGGAGAAGCTCCTGAATCACCTGTCAGTGTAACCTATGTCCAGTATTCTCCCCTGTGTCTTACACTTACAACTCTTTTTACTGTATCTTTCTTCTCTGCACCTCCTCTCTGAGACTCTCTACGGAAATTCTGAGGGATTTTCTGGGTATACCCTTTCCCTTCTTTCCTCCACACTAGCTGGTTTGTTGTCTTCGGCTCTGGCTTTGCATACATGGTTTCTCTGTTCTTGGGACCTCCTAGGTTGTGATGCGATTTTGGCTCCTGTCTGTTTACCATCAATTTCTCTTTGAGATTTACATATGGCCCCATTTCTGCAGTGGTACACTTTTGACATGGTCCAAGAAACACTAGAGCCATGGGTGGAATCAGTCAAACAACAATCTACCATTACCAATATTGTTGCACATTTGTCTTAGTCAGAGCCCCATATCCCATCTATTAACATTTTCTGGCCTTTCTAACCCTTACCTGTCCTTTCTTCTCGGGTGACTCTTCTTGTTGTTTTTTCGATGACATACTTTATGTCACCAACAGTACTGGTGACTACTCGGTAGGTTCTGGTCTGGTGGGAGCCCGGCTTGCCAATTTTCTTTATTGCTGGCATTCCTTCATTAAGGATCAATGGATTCTTCAGGTTTTATCAGAAAGAATCCCTCATCCCCTTTCTCTACTCAGCTCCCATATCTCCTTTCCATATTTTTTTCCCTCCTCCTCAGGATCCCATGACCAGTCAGCATCTGTTGGAAGTGGTTTGGGAATTGCTATCTCAGCAAGTCATCAAACCTGTTCTCCATCCTTCAACAGGTTTTTATTCCCAATAAAACTGGGGACTGGAGGCCGGTCATAGATTTATCTCACCTCAACCACTTTGTTCACCTGCCCCAGTTGACCATAGTGTCTTTTCTCTGGGATTATGGATGTCACCAATGTTTATCTCCATATACCTATATCACTTTGGTCTCATCCTTATCTTTGGTTTGACCATCTCAGGATGGTTTATCAATTTTGAGCACTACCACCCGGGATTGCATTGGCTCCTTATGTTTTCTGTCAGGTAGTCCGAGCATTTGCTTGACATGCTCTGGGATTGAGTTTTTAACTATTACATGGACGACTGGCTTCTTCTGGCTCATTCCAGACTGGAGTCAGCCAGCCATACTTGGCAACTCCTTTTAATGGTTGCTCGAGTGGGCTAGTTAATCAAGCTGGAGAAGTCCTTCCTCAGACCTACTCAATATCTCGTCCATTTGGGGTCTTTTTCAACACATGGATCAGTCAGGCCCAGCATTCTCCTTTATGACTTTGTTCTGTGAATTGTTATGTCACCATGCCCTCTTGGTTCCATCACTTACTGCTCATGAGGTTCTATCACTTTTGGGGATGTGGTGTTCAATGACCTCACTGGAACCTTGCACGGCATCCTCTTTCTTCTCCCATTACCCTTCCTCTTACCCTGCGATATGCTCTACTTTAGTGGTTGGACAAGACACGTACTTCAGCAGGTGTGCCACTTTTTCCTCTGCATCCGGATCTACATCTCTTCATGGACGCATCCCTGCAGGGCTGCAGTGCATGGGTCAACCAACTGGAAGCTTTGGCCCTTGATCTGTGGATGAAAGGACTTTGCATATCAATGTTCTCAAACTTCTAACTTTACGTTAGGCATTGAATCACTTCCTTCTTTTTGCCCAACATTGTCTGGTGATGGTTTATTCTGACAATTCTACAGTGGTGGCACATATCAATCACCAAGGGGACACCTGATTGAGAGATCTATGTTTTTAGACATTGGTTCTCTTATACTGACCCACATGCAACACATTCATCTCATTGCATGTCATGTGCTGGGTGCTTTCAGCCTTATTGTGGATTGTCTTTCCCACCCTCACCAGATATATCAATCAAAATGGTTCTTAGATCCCCTCATTTTCAGGGAGTTTTGCACTTTGTGGGGTTCTACTCTATGTGGATGCAGTTGCTATGAGCCTCAATCACAAGTTACCTCTCTTTTGGTTGCTGGGCCCTCATCCTCAAGCTCTGGTAGTCACTGCCTTCAGCCAAGATTGGTCCCACAAATATCTTTATGTTTATCCTCCTATCAGATTACTTCATTGGGTAATCTCTGTTTTTTTTATTGTTCCTCATTGGCCAGCTCGGCCATGGTTTCAGTGGTTACAGCACCTGCTACTCTCCCCCTCCTGTATCTCTTCCATCGTCTCCCCACCTTCTTCATCAACCTTGGTCGCCGGTCTTACATTCCGCCCTTCACGTCCTACTTCTTTATGCATGGCTTTTATCCAGTCCTTGGTGAGGAGATCTGGTTTCTCCCATCAAGTCGCTTTCTTTTTAGCTGGTTCCATATGTCCTTTTTCCATGGAGGTGTAGCAGTGCAAGTGGAAGGTGTTCCACAGTTGGTCAACAACTCGTGGGTTTCCCACTGATCAGCCTACTGTGCCTCGAGTGGTGGAATTTCTCACTTGGCTTTGTGACTGTGGGGCCCTCGGTCTCCTCACTCTCAAGTTATTGGGTGGCTTTATCCCTAACCTGTTTTTCTTATAGAGTTTTAACTTCTATTATTCTCCTATTCAGTGTGGAATTCTAGCTAATTTTGTGAGGGAGGTGAGTAGTTATAATTTTCCTATACTGAAAATGTATTTCTGATAGATATTAACTCCACTCTCACTTCCTATCTTTCCTCCCCAATTTCCTCCAGTGCTTAAGTCTTTTGCCAAATTTCGAAGTGATAGTTCGGTAGAAGAGTATAGAGGGAGTCACATGCATCACATGAGCATGTTATGCTCCTAATGATGGAGAAGTGACGCCTGATGATTTGCATGAGAGACATGTTAGAATCTTTCAATTCCAATAAAGGGGGGGGGGCAGAAGGCTTGTGGCATGCATAAAGAGAAAGTTCACATATAGAGGACAGCACTGAATGAGAATAGCTAATTTTATGAGAGGAGGTATGTACCTATCGTAAATACATTTTCAGTATAGGAAAATTATGATTTTCCACTACCTAAGATTGTAGTCCTTAGCAGAAATACAATTAAGCTGTTGAGGTTGGTTTATTAGTCAAAATAATATTGAGAAATTTCTACTATGTATATTTTATAATACTTTTGTACATTTGAAAAAAGTTAAAAATGTGTGTGTATATGTGCATATATGGTGTTCAAGATAATTCAGTGTATTTAACTTTAAAATTTTAAGATGCATACCTTTTTGATAAGTATATTGAACAGATTCTGTTTCTTTCTTTTAAATAGCTTTGATTCTTCAGATTATAAAGACACAGAAAAAAAAATGATTATTTTTACAAACTGGGCATTTGTACAAGAGCAGTCAAAAGCATTCCTAACTCAGGAGTGGTGCAATTCAATAGCAGCAATCCAAATGGCAATTGGACAATTGGAAGGCTCAATGCAACAAAAATCATGGGTGGAAGTGAGTAAAGTTATGTGTATTTAGTTGAATAGTTTTGTAGTTATAATCAAAGAAAGTTTTTAATATTTAATAACAAATATAAACAAAGTAAAGCTGGATTTGTCAAACTTTGTTTGTGCATATATAGTTTTAGAAGAATCATGAGTTGAACATGGGCATCATTCAGTTATGCAGTTTGTAATGTTCTATATGTATTACTTGTGAATTTAGGACTAAAATATCTTTCAATTATTTTTAAATTAGCAAAACATGAATTCTGACATTTGCAGTAAATCAATTAAAATAGATTTTAAAAACTCCTTTACAGTAAATGATAAATCATATATAAAATTATAATTCAGAAAGTGCATCATTTACAGAAAAAACTCTTTGGAGCTTTGTAGAAATGAAATTTTGAATATTTCTGTCAATTTTCTCTATCAGTTACTTTATACAAATGTCGTAAAAGACCAATATCACTATCAAAATATAAAAGTTAAAATTATTGAAACACATTTAGAATTAACATATTGTATTTACTTAAAAATTTGTGACTCAAAGAAATGTAGTGTCAAAAAAAATTTATTTGGCAAAAGTGATGGTGAAAAAGTATGAAAAGCCAAAGGAAACCCTTTTGATCTTCAACTTTTGTACAGGAAAATGTATAATATGTACTATAGATGTATTACAAATACATTTAACAGCACTTCATTGTTTTCCCTCTACAAATACTACTACTGTTGATGAAAATATATATTGCTTCCTGATAGTGATTACAAATCAGAAAATACTAACTATAACAGTGACTTGTGAGAGTACCAACTAAGTACAGGTTAATATAAGCTCATACACTTAGTTCTTGGGATTAAGTTTACAAAATGTGAATGCAATGGTATAAGGCAATCAATACCATGATTGTGAACAGAACATACACAACTACATTTAAGAATAATGCATGTGGAATACTTTAGATGCATCTTGACTATACAAAAGGACGATGAATTTAACAGCATATACCACTTGTTGAAGTTAAAGGAGAATAGCATTATCATGGGTATAAAATTCATTATAATTTTGTACACAACAATATTCTAATGTGATCTGAAGTAAGCCAACAATTTAGTATTTTGAATCAGCCAAATGAAAGTTACACACATTTTTATCATTATTACATGTTTGTCATTGTACATTGGGTGAAAAACTATTATGTATTTGTAGTAACATTTCCTTGAAAAATTTGGATACGTAGGATTTGTTTTTCTCACTAAGCATTATTACATTGCACTGTAGCATAGAATACTGTTATCAGAACTTGTAATATCTTTCATGTATTGTATCAAATCAAAAGTTTGTTTTCTTAAGTTTCATATATGTTCTTTTAGCGAATATGTTTTTTTCCCTTGCAGCATATTTACCTCTCATAAGGCCTATGTTTCTTTTTTTGTAATACACAGTTGGCCTAATAAGCTTTCATTTAAAATGGAGTAGAGGATTAGTAATTGTAGTTGATTTGTATGTACTATACCAAATCCTCTTTTTAATAGCATTTAATTGTTCTTTATGGAATTATCATTTGTTAAAATACACCATATACATCGGTTATACATTTTCAATACAAACTACTGAAATTCAAATTAATTGATAAATAATTTTCAAGTTAACTAAACTAAATAGCATAAAGAGTATAAGGTGTTAATTTTTCTGTTTCACAGTAATATGTAGCATTGATAAACTTCTAAACTTTTTCAAGTTGCAGTAAAAGAAAAATTCATTTTAAAATTGTATAATTATATACACTTATAATGCATTAATATTTGTAAGATAAAATGAACTCCAATTTTTAGAGACTTTCCATAAACTATGTGTTATTTTTATGTATTGCACTATCTGCACAATACCATGTGCATTAAAAGTTTTTGTAAAACGATCATGTTTAAACTTCTCCACAGAGTAGATTTATAATTACACACATTTGCAAAAAAAGTATTTGGCTATTTGTAAGAATTTTAGAATGACCAAGAGAACACTCAATCCATGTGTCTGGTACTTGAATTTTGATCCTAAAGTGCTATCTTCAGGGACAAATTCTAATAATGCATTTTTAAAAGTCCTGTACCTGAGAATGACACAAATGTATCATAGTAGCTGTGATTATGTAGCTTTATATGAAAATCCACCACTTATAAACACACACACCATACTGATGAAAAAGCAGTATTATACAAATAGTCTTCATTGTGTCAACAGAGAATCATTCTAAATCAGTTTTAAACAAGATTTAGGGCAAAGTTAATAAAAGGAATTTCTAAAAACAAACAAACATTGGAGTAACACAGATTTTTGTTTACTTTTTTAGAAGTAATTTCATACAACTGCTATGATTTAAAGATTGACATATATCAAAAGGAAGCTATAAATTTTGGAATATGTTAATTATAATAGATTCAATACACTACTATGAATAAATAATAATATCAACTTCTGTTGGATTACATCATTTACTTGTATTAGAACTCATCTTTATTGAGTTCATTGCCAATGGAAAGATCAATATCACTCTTACCTTCCCAGCTTTTTTTGAGATTTGCTCAAGTCTTGTGTTTGCACATGTCTAAGTACTTTATTCCATTGTTCATGCAATGGCAGTCTGATAACAGACAGGATTTTGTAATTTGCAGGCCAGACGTTCCATCACTGCTTCAGATGTGGAGGACCATCCTTTGAGTCTATAGTGGTTAATCTTCATCATTTTCAGGTTTAAGCTTACACCCAAAGCCAGTAGGACTTGGAATGTAAGGCCTGTAGGTCCAAGCACCTCTTCCATATGCATGTTTGGTAGTTGGCTTTCTTTGCATGTTTAAACAGTCAGCATATGGGAGTAACTGATGTGACTCAGTCTCACTCTTCCTGCTGCAGAATAGCTGGTACCAAATGTCATGCATCTTGATGCCCTTAAACTTTGATCCATACAACTCACAGGTGAAAGTGTTCAGTTTGGAAAACAGAACTGGAGAAGGATTCCATTCCTGAAAGATGTATTTATTTCTTCATTTTCAGCATTTTCATAATACTAATATTTCCATGCCCAGCAAAGACACTGAAGACTACTGATGTCAGTGAATCTTTTACAAGTACTGGTTCCACATTTCACAAAGAAAAGTTCATTAATTACATCATTGAAAGCAATGCATAGCAGAAACACATCCTTGTCCTCAGAAATAATGACTGTTGATCTGGTTCCAGATTTTACAGTATAAGAAGTATGGAGTAGAAACCTTTATCTGTTTCAATTTAGTGAAACTAAATCAGGCACCTGATGCCCGTTGTTATCTTATAGCTTTTTCATCATGTGTTATAAAGAGAACATTGTCATTTGTGATCAGTTGTTGAGTATCTGGCTATCTCCATTCATTGACCAAGAAGTGGATCAGTGCTGTGGTGTTGTCAGTACTTTACAAAACTTTCTCCACTTTGTCACTTCTTAAACTTTAGGCAATTTCTGTAAGGGCTGATAACAGAACTGAAGAGGAAACCCTTTTAAAGGATTTTTTAGTCCTTATTATTTTATGGATCAATTTCATGTCATCAGTAATTGTTGCTGAGGAATGCCCACAGCAACAGATGTTTTTTTCTGCAAATTTTCATGTTAGAATTTCTTTGTTGTTTTTTCTCGGTTGACCTTCACGTGTTGACAGAGGCACATGAAGATGGCAAAGAACGTTTGTCATGTGTAGCTTTTTTCTGGTCTGGACTTTCAGGATCATTTGGCCAGAGTTTCCTGTCTGCCTTCAGATTAAGATCCTTGCTCTTTGCTTTCATTTTCTGCACATTAAGCTATTTCTCTGAAAAAGGAAGCTCATTACTAAGTAATTGTATCAATTGAAAGATACGTTGCCAAAAATAATGAGCTGAAAATTCCGAAAGTAAAAAAAAAGGAAAATTTGAAATACACCAAAACTTTATGATAATATTCCAAATAAAATATCATCATTATTTAATGGTGAAAATATAATTATTAAATCAGCATTGAAGAAATGGACACTAATACTGATGAACCTAAAAATCTATATATAGTATATACATTATAAATGCTGAAAACAAAGTATTGTGCAATAATAAGCAGTGGACATTAAAAGGGCTGGGGATTATTCACAAAAAAAGGACACTTTCAAACATTGTAAGGTAAGACTTCGAAGGGGGAGTAGATTGTGGAAACTCATTATTTTTATTCATTTAGTCCTATAAACACTTTTAAGATCTAAAACTAAGTAGTGAATTATTCTGTATTAACACTTAATAGTATATCACCTGTTTTTTTTTTTTACTGTTAAGACTTTCATGTCCTTGTGTGTTATTCATTTTAAAAAAGCTGACTTTTTTTTATATATATAAAAACTAATAGCAAGTAAGGTGTGGAATTAGGTATATACCTTTTAGTAGTTATGTATAATTTTTATTGAGAAAAAGGACACCTTTTAGGCATAAGAGAAGGAAGGCAGGATCTTGAGCCCATCTAGCCATGTCACTAATATTGTGAATGTTTAAAATGCAAATTATTATGTAGTTAATATTGTTAACCTGTACCTAAAATCATATATGATTATGTATAATTATTAATGTATTTATTTATTATAAATGATATTTATTATACAGCAGACTCTCCCTGAGCGACCATCTCCCCAAGGAGACCACTCCCCCACTGCAGGCAAAATATTCAGTCCCGACAATTTGTCAATCTTTACCATTATAAAATATTTCCACAAGCTGACCACTCCCCCACTGCAGGCACAATATTCAGTCCCGACAATTTGTCTATCTTTACCATTATAAAATATTTCCACAAGCCGACCACTCCCCCATTGCAGGCAAAATATTCAGTTCCGACAATTTGTCTATCTTTACCATTATAAAATATTTCCACAAGCTGACCACTCCCCCACTGCAGGCAAAATATTCAGTCCCGACAATTTGGTCATTGTTGATTGTAATTGTTGTTCAATATTTGACAACACTCAGTGTGTGTTACTTTTAAATTACTCTGGTGTTTCTAATTAAATTTTATTGTTTTGTTGCCTTTTGGACCATGATTTTTAAAATTCCCACCATAAAAAGTTTCAAAATATGTGGTAACATGAAGCAAATGTTACACTAATCAAGTTACATATAGCTCATGCTATTCGCGAGCTGTTAGTCCTAGTGAGCATACCTCATAGAAACATTTTATTATTACTATCATTATTATTATGTATATTACCTAATTTAATCTTATCTAGCCTAAACTTTTCTAATTTTTACATTTTTAGTCACTTTTATAATAATAAATAAAGAAAAGTTAAAAAAACAAGAAATATAGCACTTACTTGTGTAACATTTCTTTTTGTTGTCGACTGTCCTTCTATGTTAGCCCTAATAGTAATACCTTCACCAATGCTACTAGTCCACAAAATAATTTTTTTTAAGTAAATAATTCTACGGAAGAACACAGGATAATAACATGTTCACAGCTGAGAAAGTTGGGTATCTGGTAAAATTTTTCTGGCACTCTAATCATGTGACTTGAGCAGTTGGAAATTCAGCTTAGCTCCCCCACTATGTTCTCATGGGTAAAAATGTTTTTCTCATCAGCTAAATTGTCAATTATCTGTAACATCACATGGCATGAATCTAGGCTTTCCATTGGTTGTAAATTTGATAGGAGATAGCCATAAAATAAGCCACTTGAAAGGTCAATGTTTTCACGTTTAGATAACATTACCTTGACAGATACACTGCGTATAAATACTGCATCAGTCAATGAGTAAAACATTAGTTTATTCTGTTTTGATCGCACATGAAATTTATTGTCAAACACACTTATAAATCTCCATGACAGAAATTCTATTCCAAAATAATGCTAAAGGCAAAGCCATCTTATCATGTTGAGATATCATTGGCAGATAAAGTCAAAGTTATTCAAGCACATAATGCCAGCAATAAAAGCCAGCGCTAGTTAACTGAAGAGTTCAATGTCGGCAAAACACTAATCCAGTAAATTTTAAAACATAATGCTGAATATATGATAGTGTTTGGTATTATGGTCTTGGTATCAAAAAGTTTGTGCTATAAAAATTCCAGTTTCCAGACCTATATTCCAAGAAAAGGCACTTACAATAGCCACTACTCTGGGTCTTTCCGACTTCAAAGTATCATTTGGATGGCTCACTAAATTCAAAACCAGACATAACATTTTACAATCAGTAGTGAGCGTATGACAGTTGATGAAAGGAATGCCAAATTGTCTGCTACTATAGACAGATATGCACCTAGAGACATCTACAGTATGGATGAAATTGGGGTCAGCTATTGTGATTTACTAAACAACATTGTGTGTAAAAGGTGAACAGTGTGCTGGAGGGAAGCGATCAAAAGATAGACTAGGTGTTGCATTATGTTGCAATAGTGTTGATGAATTTGAACACACTGTTGTGATTGGTAAGAGCACAAAACCCAGGTGCTTCAAAAACTTAAACATAAAGAGTAACTTATCTGTGGCTTGGTATACTAACAAGAAGGTGTGAATGACCAACACTGTCTTCCAAGACTGGGTTACAGGCTTCAATAAGTGCATGAAAGCAGAGTGTCACAATGTTGTCTTACTGTTAGACAATGCCATATTTCACAGTCAGGTGAATCTTAGCAATGTCAAAATTGTGTTATTGCCTCCCAATGCAACATCAGTGATACAACCTCTTGACCAGGGTATCATTCATGCATTCAAAGCCCACTACAAAAAGCACCTAGTCAGCTCTGTGTTATCAAACATGGATAAAGGCATGTCACTCACAAACTTGGTGAAAAGTGCTAGATGCAACCTTGAAGATGACGACAGCAACCAGTCTACAGACGCAGAATAATGCACAATCCAGTCAATGTTGCAAATGCTGAAGTGCATTTCAGACATGAAGAAGTTTGCACTAAAAACCCAACACTCATGAAAATCATGAACAATTTAAATAATGTAGAAGATGTTGTTCAAAATGAAATCATTAATGCTATATCAAAAAAATCAACAACTTTTTTGTGTAATAAAATATATATGCACTCATGTTCTATGACTAAAATGTGTAAAATACTTTATGAAAATAAAGGCAATAAAATAGAAAATTTTTAAGAAATGAATAATTATTAATAGTTTGGATGTACAATATGCAAATAAATATCACACATAACATTGCAATTCGTTATTTAAATATTTTACAGTTAATTGATGAACTGGTCAATTCTTAGTAAGTCCACTTCCCTATTAAAACCACTTTTTGTTCAGACCCAAAGGTGGTTGTAATAGGGAGAGTCTACTGTAGTTAGTTCAACTTCCTAAAGCAAACATGATCCACACCTGAGTAAATTTTGTGGATAATAATGTGTGCTGTAAAAGTTTTAATAATTTTTGTTGTTGTTGTTCAGCAGCTTTCAAAATTAGGGATGATAGCAGACAACCCTAGTAGCTGAAAAATTTGAGTTATTAAAAATTAGTAACTTGAAATCATAATGGCAATACTTTGATTACTTGAATAGTTGGAGGAATAAAGAATAATGATTAGATACTCAACTTTCAATTAGTTTTTTCATGAGAATGAATGATACTAATTAAAATTATAGTAACTACTGATAAAAGTTTTGAGAATGTTTTACTTATTCAAAAGTACCTTGACAGTTCTGATAGCTAGGCAAGATTGTGAAAACTATTTCAAAATTGAGATGTGTGAAGTTATGCACTTGGGTTGGGATTTGTAGTTTATGCCGAGTGTCTAGTTGTGTGGAAGAGTAAGTTATTGGTTTTACTATTAATTGAAAAACAGTATTTATTATATTTTTGACATATGCTAGATTTTTTCAAAGACAGTGTCTGTAAACTTACTAGACTTATTAGTAAAGCTAATGGGTGAGACCTTTCCCCTAAAATAGCACATCCATGGATCTCTTTTTTTTTTTTTTCTAATTTAGTGTCCTACATTGAAGATAAGATACTCTTGCCAAAACTTACTTGAATGTAATCAAAGTATTAAGAACAAAATCAAATACTACTATTAAATTTTTACTTCTAAATGAATTCTAACTTTCCACAGTTATGCAGCTAGTAGCAATCTTACAAGAACACTAGTTTTGGTAACTCTACATATACATAACATACACAGAAAATAGCACTTTATGTACTGCTGTAATAATCATGTATTACAGCCAGCTCAACAACAATTTTATGCACTGTTCTTAAAGACAAATTTGACTTGCAAAATATAGGACAAATCATTGACCCTGTTGTGTCATATGAAATTTCTTTCTGAACTTTCACAAACTATGTAACCCCATTTTTGGTAATTTTTTTTTTCAATATATCAAATGATTCATTCATACTGATGAAAGTCTTTTTTTTTTTTGCATATCTTACTGTATTTTATGGTAATTAATAACTTTAATTTTGACATATAGATATGTGAATTAAAGTTCAATAAATTCTTGTTTATGTATTTACAATATTTTATTCAGAAAACTAAGATCCTTCATTAACTTTGGTTTAAAACATAAGTTTAGTATCCATCATATGTGTTGTATTTGAAGCTAGCTTTTGTAGGAACTATAGGTGATGTTGAAAATATGAAAAACAACTGTTAAAAAAGTCGTATAATCATTTTTTTGGAATATTTTAAAGTTTTGAATTTGGATTTATCATATGTTTCGATTATGATACAAATAAAATTTTACTTAAAGATTTAATAACTATGCTACATAATTATATTACTACCATCTTAAAACATTGTATCCAGATGCAAAGTTCTTTAGAATTTAAGTGTGTTTTCAAAAATATTATGTATTTTATTGATATAAAACGAATATATTTTTCTTTTAGCTGACTGGATTCTTCTTTCATACAGTAATGGTGACCCTTACTCTCAGCATTGTAAGCAGACTAATCGCACAACCAATATCATGATTGTTTGTGATCCTGTTAATTTGAAGGTTAGTCATCAAGAAAATAATTTCTATGAACATTTTACCTGAAGGCAAATGTCAACAACATTCAATATTATAACTATGTGTAATCTTTGTACCAGAAGCTAAGTGTCAATAGTGATTGATAGTATATTTCTTTTAACCTTCTTGTTACAGGTAGGTCACAGTACACATCATGACCTTTAAGAGTTACATTCAAAATTTAATTAAATTACTTTTATATCATTTTATGTAAATAAACTTGGCATAAAAAACATAGTTAATGAATGAAATTTTAATATTATATAAGAATTAAGTTTTAATTTTATAAGGAAATACTTAAAAATTCTCAATCTCCCCTATTATGAGAATTTTGAAATTAGTTCTCTAGGTTTTCCCTATTTTCAAGTTTATTTACCACACATCTGGGAAGTACAGAATTTAATGTAAATTACTTATCATAATATAAATATTACTCAGGCAAAGCATAATTTTTATAGCCTTCAGTCTCATTTATTTAATGAGCCATAAACTATAAAAGTAGACCCACTTGCCATGCCCACTTGTCACATCCTCTCTTTCACAAATTGCCAGTAGTTCTTTCTGACATTTTATATTGTATTATTTATAATCAATAGAAAGTCAAAGTTTTAATCTATCAAATGATGTATCATATTACATTGTTTTCTATACATAGTATTATCTGTTTTACCTCCAGTTTGAAAATTTCTCTTGTGGTATTCACATCAACAAGCTTAACTAAATCTTTAAAGGCTCTTATTGCATGGTTAGGAAGCCAGATAAATTATGATAGTTATAGGACATCATTTGCTTTGTGCGTGCTGTAATTCTGTAACCTTAGGTGCATTATTTAATTATATAAAAATTATTTAGTGTAATAGTACCAATAATATGAAAAAAAAAAGTAGGCTTAACTTTCATCAGCAGTCATCATAAAAAAATGAAGACGCAGGTAAGTACTTTATGTTCTGTAAATAGTTTTTGAAACAACTATTGATGGAATAGTAGATTTACTTGGGTATAACTGATCACATACAGTAACATTCAAAGTACAAATACATTCAGCTTACATATACATCCAATAAAAACCCTATAGGAGTTTTTATTCATTTCTATCAAGACTTCTTGAACCTACGTGTTTTCTAACATCATGAATATACATCCAATCATACTTAAGATAATACTAGCTCCATTTGTGCTCTTAATGCTTTAGTTATCCTTGTTTTAATTTTTTGATTCTTAATACTTCAAAGCTTGTTTGGGTTTTTGTCTACATGCAACACTTTCATGTTTTTAAAAATTTATTTTGTGTATTTTTCAATCACGTGCTCATGTACATTTGATTCTTTTTGTTGTTAATGTTCTTTACATCTAACCTGTTTCTTTTACATATCAATTTTTGCAGTCTATTCATTCCATTTATAAATTGTGTCATTACCTTATTCTTCCTTATTGTATAATATCAGTAGAAAACATTTAATATTAATTCCTGGGTTAATTGCTATTTTAGTTTTGACACTTTACTTGTGTTTTTTTTACTTCATTTGCACTATAAACTAATTTATTTACCTCTAATAACACCTATAAATAATATTGATCTATAGATATATTGAATATTTCATTCTTCTTAGGTATTATGATCAGTTCAGTTGTTCTTATTTTATCCATTTTTCTTCATTTATTGTTTGCTTGATTATTTCATCAGTTATTTGGAGTGTGCTGATTTGATGTTTTGAACATATTTTTCCACATTTCATTGGTGCACAATCTCAACCTTTTAATTTTAAATTGTATTTTTATCATTAAGTTCCATAATGTGCCTTGTGTATTCTTTTTGAATTTTCAGACTGAGGGTTTTCTTTCCTATGTTTACATTTAGGAAGTTTATGCTTTTATATTGTATATTAATGTGTTGAAAAAATCATATCACTTATCCATTAAAGCCACATAGGATACCACCAACATAAGTGATAGAAATATAGCTAGCTTTATTAACAGCCTTTGTCTTTATGTTGATGTGAAACAGTGTTGATAATACTGAAGAGAGCTGGACTTTTAGTGGAAGTTGCTAATTGATTATATGGTGGACTCATTCATCTAATTTATTATTCTTGTAAGATGGATTTAAAAAAATCCCTTATTCTCACATGACACGGCTAAAAAAATGGCAAAAACGTGGCACAAATTTGTTTTTAAAATACTTCTGAATATTTACTATTTTGTAAATTGGTAATGTTAAGAAAACCATGCAGCTGTCATTCTGTTTGTTTTCAAAATATACAGTAATCCCCTATTAGTCTGTGCAAACAAAATGAATTGATAATCAAATAATGAAAACATGTTTTACTATAACTGATACAATAATAATATTTTTATTTAAAACATATAACTGCAATTAGAAATCAATAAGTAGCCAGTTAGTCAATTTATTTATTTACATTCTTTGAATACCATGAAAATAAAAATAATATTTAGTAAATAGGGATTTGAGTCATCAAGATGTTTTGCTATCACTTATTATAGTCAGTAAACCTAACTAGTTTACTTGGTGTCTTCTCATGTAAGAACATTTCTGTAACTTTTAAACAGTTATAATTTAACACATAAAACTATCAGTCAGATTAGAAACTTCCCACTAAATCATAACTACTGCTCAAACTACTATATTTACCTTACTATGATGTAAAAATTCTGATTTTTACTCTATCAATCACATTTTACATTTCTCTATAGTTGTTTTCCAAGCTGTGTTTCATTAATAAAAGATTAAGCCATTGATAAATATTATAAAAGGATAACAATCAAAGCATGTACAAGAATAAGAGAAATGCTTGGAAACCAAGAAATGGGTAATATACTCTGAAATGTTTCAGTTGGAACTTTAGGCAGAGTAGATATAGTAAGTTTGAGAACTTTAATGGGCTGTAACTACTTATAAATGAAAATGTGATAAAAGTTTGGATTTTATTGTCTTTATTTTAGGTCACCATAGGTACATGTTTAGCATCTTATAAAATAAGTGCAGCATTGTAGTAAAGCTCCAAGCTGTGTAGGTTGAGTGAGTGCATTACTTGGCAGGTATTGTCAGTAGGACTGTAATGGCATCATATTGTTTGCAGAGTTTGTTAAAGATGGTCATCCACAGGTAGCTGATGTATAAGCCATTTTCTCTGTTGAATTCAGGCTGGTATAGTTTCTTGGACTTTTCTTCCATTGGTGAGTTTGACTAAAATATGTTTTAATTCCAATTTATGATGTGCCTATTATGTAGTTATATTCAGTCAAGGTCATTTTATCCAGATGTGTTAGAGTAGTTGCATCTTTATTTTTTTAGTCTTTGTTCTATGGTCCACTCAGTTTCTCCATTGTAAATGTTGCCACACAAACATGGTAATTTGTAGGTGAGTTCTTTTTTATTTAGTATTGTTGGTTGGCTGTTTCACTGTAGTAAGGATGTCTCAAAGACATTTTCCTAAAATAAACTTTAACATTCAATTTTCAGCTAATGTTTGTTAGATTTTCACTTAACATGAAATGTAGGGTAGTGAAACAGTGGTCGTGAAGGTTGAGGAATCTCATTCTTGATGGTAGATATAAAACTGGAAGGGTATCTATTGTTTTTGAAAACTTTCTCTTGAAGGTTAGTTATTTTTCAACACAGTCTTTGTCTCAGGTCTATCTGGATCTGTAAAACATGTTTGATATTTGTATTTTTTTCTAATTGCGTGGAAAATTGTATGCTGGGGTTTATATAATATAAGTAATTTAGGAAACCTTCAGGAGATGATCATCTGTGAGACCAAGTAATAAATATGTCATCAACATTGTGCTTCCAAATTTTAGGTCTCAAGTTACTTGTCTGTTGAGCTCTGATGTCAAAATCTTCTATGAAAATATCACTGAGAACAGGTGACAGAAGTGATCTCAAAGGAAGGCCATTGGTTTACTTATAAAATTTGTTTTGTAATTGAAAGTAGGTTGAGTTAGTGCAACTGGTTAGAAGTTTTAATTGTCTACAATGAAACTTGTACAAAGATGCATGGATCCATCTGCTGTTAATCTGTTGTGAATCATGGAAAGGACAAAGTTAATGGGAATGTTGGGGAAAATATTAGTGACATCAAAGTTGATAAAAATACCTGAGGGTTAAATGGAGAAGGTTTGTACAAATGTTTCTACATTCTTGATTCTGTCTGGTGAATTAGCAGTTAAGGGATTAAGTTTTGCAAAGAATTTGTCTGTGTTATGGGAATGTGAGTCTATGACACTGGCAATGGGCCTAAGAGGAATGTCAGATTTATGTATCTTGGGTAAACCATATAACTGAGGTGGGTTGCTTCCATTGTTTAGTAGAATTTGATATTCTTCAGGTTCCAGTGTCATGATTATTTTGTTAATTGCTCTTTCAGTTAGCTCACTCCCTTGTAGGTTCCCTGTTTGTATAATGGATTGCAATTTTCTTATAAAGCCATCTTGTTAAGCAAAACTGTAGTCTTCTGGTAGAAAACAAATAGTTGGGTCTATCTGAAGATAAAGAATGATTGGTCAGGTTTGGGATAGATGGTATCGGTTGCCCTAAATTTTAATGAGTGAGGACTGAGTTCATTACCATTTGATGCTGGAAAATGCTGTATGGGGATTATGATGGCAATGGTTGGAATCAAGTTAGGTGTTGGAAAGAAATTGAGATCAAGGGGAAAAAAACTTGTTTTTCTGTGGTATTTAGGATTCTGTAACTTACTTTTTTGCCACTTTTGGTACATTGATATTTCTTTTGTTACATAAAATAAGCTTGTTTAGTTTGTCAATATGCTTTGTCATAGCTTTTTCTAAAATGTAGTTGAAACTCTAGTTAGTTGTACTGAGAATTTGATTAAAATCTTCTTGGTTCAAGAAATGGATAATATTCTTTTAAGGGGTAATAGGTTCTTAGCATAAATTAATTTATTGTTTGAGATGGGGAGAAAAATCTTAAAAAATAAACAGGTTTATTGTTTATGGACAAAATCTCAAAGCTGTGCAGAAATTAAGGTTTTAACTTTTTTTTTCAATTTTATTTCAGAATTGTACTAAATAAATGTTAGTCAATGACATAAAATTTACTTAAGTATTTGTTTTGGCAAAAATATGTGATAAATCATGAAAATCCTGTGTTCAGGTACAGTAATTTAGAAATAAGTTACTTTGATGATCCTAAAATATTGTACATGAAAATGTATCATACAGCCAAGGTAGTATAAAATCTATAACAAGCTGAAATTTATGATAGCATTCCATTGGTTTCTCCATACAAATTTCCAAAAGACTGCTGTACTAAAAATACTAAATATTTGTGTATGAAAATTTATGTAATACTTTGTGACATCTTTTTTTCTAAAGTTAATAACTTTCATTACCTTAAAAAATTCATGAATAAAAGACTAAAAAGACTACTGGTTTTAGCCATAGACCTACATCAGATATCACTTAATTAAGTACTTATTTTAAACATTTTTCAAACATATAAGAATAATGTTAATTGTAAAACCTTTCTGGCAATTATTATTATTACTAGTGTATAGCCCATAAAAAATGAATGGGCATGTACTACCACTCCCACCCCCTCCTGTTGCATCTACATCTAGCAGTATCAAATGTTCTATAACCCATTAGGGCATTAAGGTTATGCTACCAGACTATCACATACACCGTGCCATTGTATGAGTTTCACAAATAGCAGGAAGAAGTGTAACTATATTATTTAGAATTTATTGTCAAAAAGTTGATTTATTTTCAAATTAAGTTTACGCTCACAGTTCGGTGTGTACCCAAATCATTCAGGTGAGGGGGCGGGTATTGTACTTTTGGGGAAAAAATGAGACATTGAAAATATATTGCCCCCATTATGGCTGCCTCACCCCTGTAGTTCTGTAATAGTTGGTTTAACTGTAATACTTCTGAGAAGAACTCTTAATTCTCCTGTTCATGTAACTTATTGACCTACATAAGATAGCAAATACAGTTCGGAGGAAATCCATTTGGGTTAATCCCCCTCCCTCCTCAAAATTAATGAGCAATCAGAACTGGAAAAGCTGCTATTTGCCACATTTCCATTTCTTTAAATCATACCAACACTCACTACACTTATAAGGTTTCACAGCAACTCTTCCCCCCTTTCACGGCACCAAAATCATAATGGGCAGATGCTAATCGAACTATTCTATCTGGATTAATGCAATTTGGCTTTTATGACTCCTCCTATTTTGAGAAATAAAGTGTGACATGATGTGACACACACACACTGGCTTTTATATAGATTAGATAATTTTTTTTCATGTTTTTAGTATTACATCAGTATTGGTGTATTCTTGAATGTGTTTTGAAAAATGATTTTCTTTCCAACAATGACTGATGTATTAAATTAACACACTTCATATAGGCCTATGGCTGAAACAAAGTTGTGTTTTGAGAAATATTTTATTTGTGAATTTTTTAGTAGCCCAAGAGTTGGCGGTGGGTAGTGTTGACTGGATTCTTTCTCTCTAGTCTGTCACTTCTGAATTAGAGACAGCTAATGCAGACAGCCCTTGATTGGCTTTGTGCAAAATTCAACAAACAAACTTAGCAGTGGTATGAAGTGAGAGGCATGTTGCCAAATATATTGAGCTAAGTGCTACTATATTCATTACTGGTATACAGATAAAGCATATTTCAAATTATGTTAACCAACTGGATAGTATTTTGTACATATCATTACTTTGAAAAACTGTTATTCAAAAAAATGATACCGGTATAGTTTTCATCAATACCCTGAAACAAACATGCTGTAAAAAACAGCTTCAAATTTTGCATCTTGGAAAAACAAAATTGTGAAATTGATACAAAAATACTAAAGCATATTAGCATAATAAAAATGCATCTATCTTTTAATATAGATTTATTATGATCACTATGATGTGAACTTTTTTGTGTTATAAAATTCCAGGTTAGTTCTCATATTTATAGTTTGTGAACAGGATCGTTATGAAACTTTCTCATGAAAATAACACTGATCAAAAAACATATAAACATCCAGTTATGTTATCTAGACATTTTTTGAAAGAAAAAACATAGAATTTTTAAGGTTGAGGCCTTTTTTGGGGGGTCCTGAAGCTGTTTTTTATACAGTTTAACATTTTGTACAACATTTATTATTGTTATAGATACTGTACCTTAGAACATTAACAAGGAGTCAAACTTTTTCTTGTAAAATATCATAAGGGAAACACTTTTGTTATTAGATTTTTTGTCTATCTGGTACTGCCCAAGTCCAGCAGGTGCCAGATAATAAAGCTTTTCTGTACACAACTCAGTAAAAGATAAACATGTTTATATAAAGAAATGCAAAGTTTCCTGCTTAAATGTTTTTAAAGCACAATTAAATCCCTTAACTAGTTATATGATCTAGGTGCAGTGATGAGAGCTGATAAGCTTCATAAAGCTCATAACTGCTCATGCAAGTTTGTTAATATACTGCGAGTCCAATTTATTGTCTATTACACACAACGAAAGCTTGTTATGTAATACATTTTATAGAAAATATCACATAGATTATGTTTCATGCAAACCTTCTTATGTATTTGTAACTCAATTGAGTTTGAAAGTAAATTATTGTTAGACAACAGATGATGGTATTGATGAAACAAATCATTAATTTTTACTGATCTACAGTTATATATATATATATATAGATAGGCTTAAAAGACAAATCATAAATAGATTTAAAAAAAAAAGAAAGAAAAAAATTAATTCTCTGGTAGCAAATATCTGAAAGACACCAGATGAGCAGGCTTTTTTAATTCATCCAGTTAGTACATTTATTTGTTTACTAAAATCATTCACAAAACATAATTCACATTGACTGGCCATTAAATAAGGATAACTATTTCTCGTCTTAACCTGTATTCATTCTAACAATAATGTTGTCATTGCTTTTTAATGAAGGAATATAAAAATACTTTTACCTGTAATTTACAAAACTGAGTAACTGTATCTAGAAACTGATGAATTTTACATGACTTTTTTGTTCAAGTGCCTCACTACTAACTACAGTTCTTCCTGTATGTAGGGTAAATTTCAGATACTTGAAGAACGGAAAAAGAAAGAAACAGGTTACTGTTATTATCTATTTGAGCTAAGCAGCAGCATTGCATGTACCATAACTCCAGTGAAAAAAGGACTGAGTAGTGGCTCTATATTCTGTATCATGTAAGTTTGTCAAAGTCATATTTTGGAAATCGTAGACTACATTAATGTGCCATTAATATTTGGATCTAAAATCAGGTTTGACATATTATTTTTTTATCTTATTTAATTGAAATACATCATATTTCAGGATCCCACTTGGTGGCAGGTGTTGCCTGGTCGTGTATGCATGATATTATATTAGCACTAAATATGTATACTTCTATAATACTCACTGTTGAGATGGGGTGTTTGTGTAAGACCACTGTTCACTTGTCATATATATATATTTATCACTGTTTTATATATAAAGGGCCATCACTCAGGGACTTCACGAGTAAATTAGATAGGGATTTATGCCCATCCCTACTGACATGTTACTCCTCCAATCTGGGGCCTTTCCGCTTTTCAAAATTGGGAATTACAGACACCCATTGCACTGTCTCCAGTGTGTCATTCCTCCAGACTCTCCAACAAGTATTGCTCCCCCTTCTCTTCTAGTTGAATGTGGGAGTTCTTGCCATCTGTGGTTTCCAGCTGCTGGAGTGGTGGACCAAGGAAGTTTCCTCATGAGTGGGTTTTGTATAACAAACAAAATCAAACTATATATCATGCGTACCCACTCGGTAAGAAGAGAGCTATTGTTGTTATACTCATTGCTATACCAAAAATGATTATACAGTAACAATAATCAAAATCCAAGGCACTTACATGGGATGTTTTTTGCCCAGATAGACTGCACTTGTTGATCAAAAATATTTTATGCAAGGTGCATCCACTGGATTTTTTCTGCCCGGGCAGACTGCACTTGGCCTAATCCTATATATCCAAGGCACTTTCACTGGATGTTTTTTGGTCCGGACGGACCACACTTGGCGTAATCCGATGTATCTCAGGGTGTCTTCCCTGGATGATTTTGCCCAGGCAGACCACACTTGGCCAAATTAATGAATATTATGTATCCAAGGTGCTTCCCCTGGATGTTTTTTGCTTGGACAGCCTGCACTTGTTTTCTCACAGGCTTATGCAAGGCACTTCCACTGGATGATTTTCCCTGGATAAACTGCACTTGGCATAATCCGATGTATCCCATGGTGTGTCTCCTGGATGATTTTGGCCCAGGCTGACTGCACTTGGCGTATTCATATACAGTTCAAGGTCCTTCAGCCCTAGCCATGTATAGTTATTTCTTTTTCTCTGGCACCATACTATGGGTCACTGTTACTATGTTTGGTACTTCAACCTGCTACGTATGTGGATGAAGTATGACTTGTATGTTGACAAAGGGCTGGTTATGAACATACCTTTTTCCTTTTTCTTAATCTTACATATCCAAGGCACTTCCACTGGATGTTTTGCCCAGATGGACTGCACTTGACATACTCTGATGCAACTCAAGGCACTACCTTTGGCACATACTTATATGGGCCCGTTGTCACTTCTACATTAGGTTTTCCATGTTTGTCAACATGGTGTTCTTTGTCCCTTTCCTGAAAGCATTGGTGCCTGCCTTTTCAGTTTCACCCTCTTTTTGTTCCTGCATTTATTATTGTGTGAAGAGCTTACCTGTTTCAGAAGTAATGCAATACCCCACAGGTGTGCTTTCTTTTCATATTTTTGCACACCTGTTCTTTCATTATGGTTGCTTTCCACTTGATTGGATATTGATGCACTTTAACTGGCACCTCCATCTGTGTAATGTGAGATTCTAGCTTTGGGTGAATGGAAGTAAGACCATTTTGGAAGTTAACATTTTCTTATACTGACAGTGTATTTTTAAAAGGTTTTTAAGACTTGTATCTGCCAATTCTTGAAATTGGAGATTGTTCTAGAATAGTAGAGGGAGCTGGCTGAACTAATATAGATGGTGCAGTATGATTGGTGGAGGGTAATCACATGAACTGAAATGTCACAAAACTGATGGGGTATAAAAGACTGGTGTGCTGTTAGTGAAACCTTTTAGCAATGCTTAGAGGGCAGTCCAGGATCGAAATAGCTTTGGGTGATGGGAGGTAAGTTCCTATGGCAAATACACTTTCAATATAAGAAAATATTAGCGTTTAGCATATTTCTTTAGTAATTCTTCATTTGTGTTTATTATAGTTTTCAGTGATCAATTTTTTTGTGTCAGGATACACTTTTTGGTACATGTGTTTTTTTTATATATCAACATTATTTGGAGGGACGAAGAATGCATGTCCTACTACAACACAAAAATCTCCTCAGTACTGCAATTAATTCCCTAATTACAGCTGGGGTGCTTTGTATATTTCAAGTATGAAATAATTTACTTCACACAGTTTATTTGATTTTTTGTTCTTTACACAATGTTGTAACAAGCAAAATCACAAAATTCTTCACTACAATGAGATATATATATATATATATATTTGAATATTAATGAACAATATTAAAACAAGTTGATAACTTCAGGGTGAAGTTAATTGTAAACAATTCTTGGTTTTGTTCTAGCTTCTTTACTCTTATTGGAATATACTTTTCTGTGGGCTTCTTGTACAAGCGACTGGTTATTGGGGCAAAAGGAATAGAGCAAGTACCAAATTACTCTTTCTGGAAAGATTTTGGAAATCTTCAAGCTGTAAGTTTTTTTATGTTTATTATTTTACATAATGTATTTTTTATTACTTTGTACATAGATTAACCGAATATGAAACTAAACAAAAATGGCTGTAAAACTATATTTGATAGATAAATAACACGAAACACTTTATTTGTAGAATTTATACACTCAGGTGCAGACTTTCACTTCACTATCAATATATTATGCTTTTAAAAATCAGTGAAAATTGTTTAGTATTGAATATCTTGATTAGAAATGTGTGTTTAAAATGACTAGTTGTTAAAAAAACATTTTCTTATATTATCAGTGTTCTTGATTTAATTATAATTGTATTGAAGCAGCTTTCTGGTTTATTAACTTTTATAATTTATTGATAGTTTAGTCCATACTTGAATATTTAAAATACAATTGCTTGAAAGCAAAGGCCAATAGATACCTAATACTGTGGTACATGATTTCCATGGGTCAGGGGAACCAGGAAAAGTCATTGAATTTCATGTGATTCAGTGATGCTTCTAGGACACAGATGATGAAAAGTAAACAATAATTAGCACCAAACAACCACAATGGTGCACATCAGTATGTGTATTGTATGCATAAATATTGTTCCATCTACATCGATCATTTTGCTTACCATTAATAGTCATAGAGTACAAAGACAGTTACTGTAGATTACATAAACAGTAGCTAGGTTCCTGCCTAAACAGAGTATAAGAGCTCTGGAAAAGGCTTAATCTCATCTTCCTAAAATTTGGCCATGGAGGTTCATTTTGCTACAGAGTAAAGAAATGCTTAAAAATTACTATTTAGACATAGGCTGTTTCTATTAAATAAGTTATTTTGGTTTTACCCATTTTGCTCCCCAGTGGTTCATCAGTAAGTCTGAAGGCTTATAAGTCTCAAAACTGGGTTTCAGTACTTGTGATGGGTACAGCACAAATAGCCCATTGTATAACTTTATGTTTAACAACAAAACAAACAAATCTTACACATTTTAGTGTATTAATAAAACAGTCCCCATGTCAGTAGTAATAGAAGGAACTCGTTATACCCTGGGTATTTTACGTCATTGACATATTTGTGTCGGAAGAATTAGAAAAAATGCAAAATGAACAGTTTCATTATTTTGGTACAACCTGGCAGTTCAAAATTAGAACAAATCTACACAGTTTGATGAGTTTTATTTTATAGGTGTACTTGTACTTATTTAATTAATTATCAAATGTAACTATAATAATTATGTAGTGACAATTAGGGAAAATCTGTAATGGTTTCTGAGAATATGACACTATTTGTTATCTACGAATCTTTGTAAAAACATTGAACACATATTGAATAACAAAATATATCTTGTTAACCTAATAATCTATACTTTAATGCATTGCAATATCTGAGTAATATTATAAGAAAATTTACTATTTGCAGTGCTACCAACACTTGCTCATTAAGCATGATACTCACACTGTTCTCATCCTCACACGTGTTCATTGAATAAAAAAAAATGGAAGCATACAACCCCCACTAGAAGGCGACTGCCTTTTGTGCTTGCATTTAAAATTTTACTTTTCAAAAGTCTCACTTAAACAGATTCCAAAAAGTTGACAGCCATGTGTTAGTTAAGCAGCAAGCAAGATTTTGGGGACAAGAAAGAATAAAGACTGAAGCTAAAGATGATCATGTTTGGGTATTATTTTGAAATTATGAGCTTTCAGACCATGGTATGCTCTTGAGATCAAGATATTGATTGTTAAGGAGATTGTGTAGTGTTTTTTTGTTGTGTCTAAGTCAAAGAGCCATAACAGAATATATTGTGAGTAAAAGCATTATTCAACAGCAGTTTTTATTTGAAGTGATAAGTAACATTATATAAGAACAGAATATAAAAAACTTGATACTTGAGTGATGTAATACTGTTATGAAATGTCACTGGCAATATACTTTTGGATATTATTCCCTTTGCACTCGTGCATAATGTTAAAATAATAAATAAATAGCACATAATGTTATAATTGATACACAAATAAAAGCATTTTAAAATTCAGGACAATCTATTCTAATACAATCAGGACTGTACATGTTTTAATGTTTAACACATCATCATCATCATCTGGTTTGTATATTTGTTTGAAATTAAGCAGAAAGCTACACAATATGCTATCTATACTCTGTCCACCACGAGTATCGAAACCAGGTTTCTAGTGTTGTAAGTCTGCAGACATACTGCAGTGCCACTGGGGGCTCATCATCAGGAGTGAACTTGCAAGACAAAAGTGTCGTATTTATTCTTTCTCAGCTAAGTCATGTTACCTGTGTGTAAGTTTACTTTTCTGCATAAATCTCAGAGGAGGTTCTACCATATGTTTACATAGATATTTGCTGTACCTTCATCTATATTTAATAATTCTTGATTGTTTTTAAGCTTTATTATTTCTAAATATTCATGGATATTATTTGCTCTAATACCCTTAGGTTGAGCCAGTATTACTGCTTTTCCCCATAATATCTTATGTTGTGTTTTTTGTACATGTTCTTTTATAGCCAAATTTTCAGTCCTTTCATTTTTTACACATCCCTTATGTTCTGCTGAAAAATATTTTAAATTACATTTTAAAATGTTCAATATATATACGCTTGCACATTAGATTTTATAAATTCCAGCTTTTTCTGTTAACTTTATATTATCTATAGCATTACCTAAAATTTGTTTTACCTTAATCATTGGTTTAAATATAAAATAAAATATTTGTTGTTTTTTAATTTTATCATAACTCAGTTTTAAGGTAATACCTTGATCCATTATTACCACATTAGTGAATTTCTTAATTGCTCTATCTACAATAGTTGGGTTAATTCCTCTTTCAACTGCTGTATATTTCATTAGTAACAACTCATTTTTTAAATCCTCTTGTTTTGTACATATCTTCAAAATTCTATGAACATAAGTGTAAGATATAAACATGATTCCTGATGTGGTAGCATAAGAACAGAAAAAGGTTTCTGATAAACAGATGTTTCTAAATTACCTTGTTCATTCCTTTTTTACCAACACATTAAAAAGACAAACTATTATTTTTCTCAATTTCATAGGTAAATTGTATATAAGGTTCTGTTTTATTCAAATAGCATGCAAACTTTGTTAATGCCTTATTGTCATAACTTCACACCAAGAATGTGTTACCTACATACCTTATCCAAATATCAGGTTTACGTTTTGCACTGTTTATGGCATTTCTTTTAACTTGTAGGGAATTTCAACCCCATAGGGAAGAAACAAAGTATAGATATAAAAATGGTAAAATTATTAAGATATTATAATTTCTAAAGCAGATAAGGGAAGAGAAATTGTAAAACTTGCAAATATGACTATGTTAAAGGTGTGGGAGACTTATTAAATGAGAGTGCCTATGAAGTATCAATAATTTGAGAATGGTGTGATCAATCATGATGAAACTTTGCAAGATGACATTTAAGCAAACTGTGACTATTAACATATAGCCTTTCATGTCTTTATTAAATAAGACATATAGTTCACTGATACCTTACAAGCATAGATGAAATGGACTAGGAAAAGTCAGAGAATTTTATTTTCTCCAAGGTGTGGGAGCCATATAATTAGAAATCAGATTATATTATAGTACGTATATGCACATTTTTATTTGATTTTTTTTTCCCTTATCTCTTAACTTGAATCTAGTAATCTGAAGAAAAAAGAAAGAATGAAAATCACTCAACCAGACAATTCTTGATGAAAGTCAGAATTACTGATCTTTATGTAACATAAAGTTACTAGACCAGGTTGGTTTTTAAAAAGGCATGAAATATTGTACCAGGTATATTTTTAAAAAAGATGAGAATTTCTGAGCTAATACTAATATGATAAGGATGTGAATTATTGTGCTTGTTAATTGTTGGCAGTTTCCTATTAAAATTTCTTGCTAAACATTTACAGGACGGATGTGATTTTATTTGTCGATGTGGACCAAGACATGAAGAACATGCTTACAGAGGTATTGATGATCAGTTACCCAAAGAAGAAGATGATCGTGATGATCAACTTTTAGCTATGTGAACAGTGGAGTTGACATTGGCATCTTATCATTAATGCTACCTTGGAAAGTTTCAACGGCATTTATGTTACAAAATATTAAACATTTGTTTTAAGACAGTATTACTAATAGAATTTCTGAAGCCGTTATTTTTTACTTCAAATACGTTAAAACACTGTATCAGATTTTTAAAACTAGGTGGGGCTGCACATATGTTATTTCAACCCATTACATCCTGTTCTTACTAAATTAAATGATACAGTGTCTATTATTATCTGGAAGAAGTTTTGTTTCATTATGTGAAAAATAAGAACTTAAAAATATATGTAATGATTATATAACTTCAATTGTTTTCAAAGAAATTTCAACTGGTTTTCAGTAATGAATAAAATAAATCCTTGGTGTTATGGCCTTTTTATAGGTAATGAAATTCAATAATTTAAATTTTCTTCAAATATCCTAAACTAAATAAAACCACTTTGCTGGTTTGTAGCATTTAAGGCATTTTAAACTTCTAGTCCCTTATCTTTGTGATAATATGTTTGTATAAGTGTTTGTGGTAATTATATAAATTGTAGTTTGGAAAGGTATATCTATGAATAGTATCCTGCAAACATTCATGGAGTTTTTTAAATTAAAATATGATTCATTGCATAAGTTTTCTTTTGCACTTTTTGTCTTAAAACATTTTTCTTTGTCATTACTAGTATGATGTGGTGTGTGTCTTCTGATGTTAAATGATATCTGAATAAATTCACATTAACATACATCAAATAATGTACTTACCACACTTCTTTCAATAAATATGATTAAAGGCTAGTTTTGTCTCAACAAAAACTTAAATATTGGCCTATAACATTTGAAATTAACTCATTCAACAAGTTTACTTAAGTCATTCCTTATAATAATAACTTCTAATCAGAGTTAGACATGTACTCAGAGTGAAACTCAAAATCAACCTGACCATCAGTATAGCTAATTAAATATACTTTTCTTTCATTTCTAATATGAAACTAAGAATACATTGTTTCATCTGTTGGAACCCTCGTTGTTAAGTTATTTTTGGCTATTATACTGTATTTTTAAAAATGCATCACTTGGAAGTAACTACCAAAAATGCAGATAGTGAAACTAGAACTCAACAACAACAAACGTGTAGCTATAGTATAATGAAATGTTAAAAACATTTAAGTAGCTTACATTTCAGCCAAATAACCTTCACCAAGACTTAATGAAGGTTATTTAACCATAATATTGGCTACTTGATTTCCTTTACTGGGAATTTAACCTTTTTCTTGTAAGGCTAAATTTAGTTATATTGTGAACTATAAAAGAATAGGCAGTCTGTTGTTAGACCCTTTGATGCTGTCATACCAAATAGATTGTTTCTATATGAAAAAATTAATTTTTCTCAAAGATCTTAAAATTATTTCCACTGATAAGTAGAAGAAAGTATAAAAAAAAATGCAAATTGCTTGCTTATGATAACCTGCAGAGTAACTTTTACTGTAGATATAGCCTCCAATATAGTACATTATCTCTTCTCACAGAAATAGCTATTCTCTTTCCTCTATATGGAAAATTTTTTTTGCATGCCACAAATCTTGAAGCTCCCACTCATCAGGAATTGACTGATTCCAATACATCTCACGTGAAAATCATCATGTAACAACCCTCTTGACATCTTGATGCATGTGACTCCCTCTATTCAATTCTACTGCACTATCACTTCTCATTTGGCAGTACTCATATTTTAACGTTTAGTTTGTGCTCTCTTCCAATGTTTAATTAATTTTTTTCTTAATTTCGGTTTACCTGTAGTTATACTTCCAGGTTAATCAATACTAAGGTTAACTACTTTGTTTTCTTCAACACATAACATGTATTACATGTGTTTATTTTATTACCATTAATTTCATTTAATTTCTAATCTATAATTTACCCTTAATTTTGTTTGTGTGGACCCTGGTAGCAGGGGGGCCACCCTACCTTTTCAAAATGTTTGTTCATCTATGTTACTCTAGTTCAGGTCTTTCTGATTGATCTTTCCTGGCTGGCACAGACCTGGTTTTTTCGGCTGTTTCAACTCGATTTGTTTTCTTTGATCTGGATTGATTTTATTAAACTAAATTTTCATGGCTCATTTGGTATATTCCTATCAATGTTTTGTTTCTTACCATCCTCCACATTTCTTCTCGGTCAGATCCAGATGACCTTCTCTGTCCAATACATGTTGTGGGTTGCTACATTGTTTTTACAGCTTCTTTCCATGGAATCCATTCCCATGGTTGCTTTCTCTTACTCCACTTCTTTGTCTGTGATTTTGTTCCCTGATCCATAGGGTTTGGATTATGATTTGATTGGCCTTTTATTCTTTGTATCCTTTTTCACATCGTCAATTCCTTGTTTCTTCACTCCAATCATGCATCTTCCCTTTTCCCTGCATATTAACCCTGTCAACCATTGGAGGTGCTTTGTCTATCGAGCACTCATACGTTCATCCACCTGTTGCCATTCTTCACACTTTCAAGACTGTGACTGGGTAAGTTACCTTTTAGTATATATACATCTTTTTTTCAGGGGCATGTCCTTCTTTTTCTCTTTGTGGATCCCACTCTGTAGAGAGTGGTGCCTGTCCAGGTATACTTAAAACTAGTAAAAGCCACACTGTAAAGCCATGATGACTTAAAAATTATAATTATATGACCACTAAATACACATTGCTGAGATGGGGTGCTTATAAGATCACTGTCTCAGGTGTTGTTATTCCTCTGGACTCTCCACCGTGCTTTCTCCCTCTTTTGCTTATAGTAGAGTTTGAGAATCCTTACCACTTTCAGTTCCAAGCCGTAGAGGTGGTGGACTTCTAAATGTGTTAATGAAATACAAATAATATATATATATATACTCAATATACATAAATGATAAATAATAAAACCATTCAGTTGAGAGTAGGGCAGTGGTGTTCTGCTGGTATAGATGAGATGTCCTCCACTGTGTAACATTGGAATGAGCCATCGAAATTGTACTTCACCCCTTCGATTGAGATCCCTCATCCTACCCTCACATGGATGTCAGTTTCCAATGGCTTGGTTTTGGATTTAGAACTGAACCAATTAACATTAGCCCACACACATGTATGACAGATGTCTCTATTCCCTCACTCATTTCTAATCTTGTTCTCCATCCATGTTGTGGGTCATGATGGAGGTACTTGCAGATTACTATGGTTCTTCCCCTTCTGCTATCCCAATGTTCTTATCATTCCAAGGATGTTACTATGCTTGGGGTGATTCCTGTCATTTTAATTTTCAGTGAGATGGTTTACATTGCACAGACATCTTTTCAATAGCAGGTTCCTGGATCAATCACTCAATTTCTCACATTGTTATAATGTGTCCTGTTCATGGGTCAGGGGGTATGAAATTCCCTCTGGCCTCATGAACTTAAGGTGAAGATGGTATGATCCTCTTTTCTTCCTCCACCAGATGGCTGGGTTTTGGATTATAGTTGACTTGCAACCGGTATGATCCTTTTTCCTACGCCCACATGGATGCTGGTTCTCGGTGGCCTTGGTTTTGGATTATAGTCAATTCGCCAGCATTATGATCCTCTTTCCTACCCCTACATGGATGTCAGTTACCAGTGGCTGGCTTTTGGATTGTAATTGACTTACTGATGATGTTGGTTCTCAGCAGCCTGGGTTTTGGATGTAGTTGACTTGCCAGGTATGGTCTGTTATGCACTAGCCACATCCTTTTACTCTCACCCACATTTATGTATTAGGGGATTGAGATTCATGTATAGTGTGGTTCAATCCCAATCCAACCATAGTTCTCTCCCTATTGGAGGTGCTATTCCCTACTTCTGTCCACAACTGACACCTTTTTCCACACTGGATGAAGAGTATACCTGGTACAGAAGTGGTGAGGTCTCCCACATATGATCTTCGACTCCGAAGATTTGCACTGTAGATGACAAGCTAAACTAGAAGTGTGATATTAAAATCAGCCTTATTCTAATTTTGGCAACCATGTTTTTAGCACTAGTGACCTACACTTGCTTTATTCAAGTTGACCTTCCTTTGAAACCAAATAAGATACTTCAAACATACTCAAAAATAATGAAACCCTGAAGAGTTAAAATAATACATTAAAACTGTCCCTTTACTAAAGTTGCATATTCAAAAAACCTAAAACTTTTTTCTTTTTATCCCTTTATTTTTTTCTCACATTCTTTATAATTTGTAGTAAATGCTGTGCTCCTTATACCTGTCAAATTATAATAAAATGTGTTATTTTACTGAGTTGATTTCAATTCACATTGAAGTCCAAATGTATACAAATTTCACAAAAAGTACAATAAACTACAGATGAAACCTATACCTGCAGTTTAAATTGAACATAAATGACGTAAATAAATTTGATAATAATTACAATTAACTTAATTAATCTGATTCCCACCATAATGGTCATCGTTCATGAAGGTTGATGATATAAAGTGCATAGATCACTACTGTGTCTGTAGTGTTCCAGCTGGCCTGGTGGGCCTCAGTATTGGACAAAGGGTCTTGTTGATGCTGGATGACAGATTATATTCTTCTCTACTTTCATAAGTTTTTAGAATTATTAAAGTTGTTTTCTCCCATTGATGCTGTAGTTTCTCGGCCAGCTCTGGGAACAATAAGACGAGCTTGCTGGTTTGCCAGTTATTCTGAATGATAGTAAAGTTTAAAAAAAATCTGTGTTAGAAATAAAATAAATAAATACTATTATGTATTAAACCTTACCATAAATCTGATTTGTAAATGATATAAATAAAATTGATAATAATTACAGTTTACTTATTGCTGTTGATATCAATTATTTATACACTGGTGAGAAAGACTGACCAGCCCCAGGAGCTCAGCTTTATTTATTTCATGGGTTAGCAAAAGTGATTTAAGTATTGATGGGTATTAAACTTTGATCTTTGGGTAGCATTGTTTAAAATTTTGATCCCGATATCTTCTTTTTAGTCTTTTCTTCAGTGATGAACTGAGTCCAAAATGGTGAGCTTTTCCCAGTGAACATGGTGGTTGGAAAATAGGAAATTCACAAATATAGTTACTTTTTTTTTTGCATCTGAGACTAACAGTTCAGTCTGTTCCATCAATATAGTTTTTCCATACAAATTCCTAGATTTGTAATATTGTATCTTTCTGTTCACTCCTGATGGTTTAACGACTACTTTGGGTAAAGTATGTTTACATACAAAACTTCCCTCAGATTCTTTATAGACTATTGTATAAATGAATAGATTCAAGACTGAGAAAATTAGTTTTTGTTATTACTCAAGGTGCTTATGCTCCCTTGTAGCTTCATGCATCCCACTGTCTGTTACACAACTATAAATCAGATACTGAAGAATAGGGAAAAAGCACTGAAAAAGTTCTTAACTTTTAAGCACTTCAGTAGGCTTGTACCTGTGGCTCTAAGGCAGAAGATAGTGACAGTGGCATTTGAAAATTATCAGATTTGATTCTTACATAACTAGGATGTTACCAATGGCTATTCAACTTCTTTAGCTGTCTGGATGGAACAACAGTAATATGACATTACTCAGACACAGGTGGTGCATGTCTGATAAAACAACAGGCTTTTTTTTTTATCACCATG